GCCCCGCGACCAGGCCCCGCCCCGCGCCGAGGCAGGCAGAGCTGAGTCCCGCGCTCCGGCTCCGCGGATGCTGGGGAGCCGAGTTTCCATTGGGTTGGTGGAAGCCTCTGCCTGGCCCCCGTTGCGAAAACTGTAGGTCTGAACTCCAGAAGGCAAGTGGGCTGTAAAAGCGAGTGAAACCCCCGCGTCCTTTCCCCAGCCGAAACAAACAGGGGCAGAGATCCATCTTGCTCGTGGTAGTCTGAAGGGGTCAGGGATCTATCTACCTGAGTGATCTATGCTGTGACCTCTTAGGACTCAGGAGGACCAAGGAGGATGCCCAAGGCAAGGAGGAAAAAAGACTTAGCGCCTCCCCTGACTTCATCCTGGCTCTGAGCCACTGTGTCTCCAGCCCTCATTTACCCACTAGCCTCAAGCCTCCACAGAACCCCTCCACCTCTTCCTTGGCCTGTGCGCCAGAATTGTGTATCTGGCTCGTGCTTCGTAAGGCAAATAACGCGGGCGGTGAGAGAAAATGAACAGTGCTGTCCAAACTCCCCAGTCAATATTTTTTCCGCTTTCCTCATGCAAGCTGTTAAAAACATGCTGCTCTCTTGTTTTTATGTTTCTTTTCAGTTTGGGACTGGAATGGTGCCTTCTGTTGTATTTTTTTCCTCCCGTTTTTTAGGTCTTTAGCGTGCTAGAAGTACAACAGTCAAGCAAAAGTAGGACAAGCTTGAATCCTTTCTACTTGGGTGGAGTGGCTACTTTGCTTGTACGAGAAAAGCTAAACTGGCCTCCCTGGAGCAACAAGAGTCCTCAAAGGAGCAGTGGGAGGAGGTGAGGGTATGGAATTCTTTCTTTAAAAACTCAAAGGAAAATTTTTGTTTACCCCTGTTAGGGGCGCACAGAATAACTAAAATGTCCTGTCTTTTATGTTTGTTTTGGACTATAATTTAAGCAGCTCAGAGTAATAACTACATATGATTATCACAAGCTCTGAAATGGTAATTCTGTGTGTCTGATTGATAAAAATTAAAATTATTAATAAATGCAATTTAGGAGACCTTTTTTTCAAATATAGGGTTCCTGGAAGTAAACAGAATAGATAGGGCGTTTGATAGTAGTGAAAGTTTGGGAACCAGTGAACCCGAACACTATTTCTTAAATTAGGCCTGTAGATGTATTCTCTAGGGTTTTAATTTTGTTTTCGTTTTTTAGATTTGCTTAAGCATATTTTGGATTATTTGAATGACCATTTTATAACCTGGGTTGCCACGCGATTTCAGCAACTACATTTGCATGTGTGTTTCAGTGTTGCTTTTATTGTGCTGGGATAATGAGAAAAGAACAGAGGTAGATGCTAAAAGAAAATAGTGTTTTCATGAACAAAATGAAAGCCAAATGACATCATGAGACTGCACAGTCACAGTAGTTCTAACAGAAAAGTAGTGAGAAAATTGAGATAGGTCACTTGGTGGCATGTTGAACTCATAAGAAGCTGAGCTTTCACAGGCAATACCATAGTCACGATACAAGGGAAAGTATAGTCTCAGCAAAATACATCATTTGTCATGTTAAATTATTATGACATTAATATGAATACTATTAGTTTTCTGGTTTCATTTGTATTTCATTTGTAAATCTATTTTGGTATTTTAGTTGAATAAGAACTATAAATAAAAAGAACATATTTCTACTTTATATTTGTAAATCTAAGTAACATTGTAATAAAAATAACTTTGAGAGTTTTCAAGATATTTTTGTCTTTAGAAATGGACCCAAACACTACTCAAGTTTGAGAAACAGAGGGCTAAGAGGTTTTTTGATTTAATACTTTACCACTTACAAGGCCAGAGAGGATTCCTATTGGCATGGGGAAGAGAAAATGTTCCTTTATATTTGTAAAAAAGGCTTCAGAAATGATTAAGGAAGCAAGTGCAGAGAGAAGCACATTGTCAGTTCCACACATCATCTAGATATTAGCTCAAGCTTAGAGGAGCCTCATATGGTAAACAGAAATTAGTGCACTGATTGATACTAAACTATTTTGTTTAGAACTGAAATATTCTTTGCTTACCCAAGCACAATGAATTGGGCATTTAAGGAATAACTATGATTAAATATGAAATCACAAGCCGAGAAAACAGGCCCCAGAAAATTGCCTGGTTTGAGAGTCATCAATTCTGGACTTCAAGTACCACCTCTGTCTCTGACTCATTGTGACTTACCTCTCCCTGTGCCTCAATCCCACCTCCCACCCCCTCACCCTCAATAAATGGAGCTAACCACCTCTGGTTTCCTTTCTAGTTACTGTGGTAATGTGAGAACAAAACAGGTAGTAAACATGAGGATGCTAATAAATCCTTCAATAAAGTGATTAAAACAGGCCAGCAGAAAGAGGCCATTTCAAAAGCTGGGCCAAATGGAAACTGAAACAAAATCTGAGACAGTCTTTGGAGAGTGTGGTCCACCGACTATCTGAATCACCTAAGGTGCTTGTTTAAAAATGCAGATTCCTGGCCTCTACCCCAGACTTCCTGAATCAGATTCCTGGAGAATGAGGTGGGACATTTTACCATGCACCCCTGGTGATTCTAATGTACACTGATGTTCAAAAGTCACTGATTTAAAAAGTTCATCTAGAAAAACGATTGCCATGTCAACAAAAAGACATCTGCTCAGATAGAGTCTGAAAAGAATCTTTGGAGGCTGCTCTAACCAGAAAAAGCAAATGACAGCTACAACTGCTTATCAATAAACAATTCTGTCTCTGTTAGCTGAGGTTTTTGCCAGATTAAAATGCTCTATCTTTTGCTGGATTCCTAGAAGTCAGCTAAGCTCTACAAGTATAGTACTGTGGCACTGAGCTGTTTCCATATCCTCCTCTCCTCTCCATTGTTCCCTGGGTCTCCTCTCCACATCCCACACACACCAGGAGAAACTAATGACCAGGGAGCATCAGAGACAACAGCTGAGATTAGGTTGAGGATTTAAGGCACCCATCAGGAAACAATGTGACTGTTCTCAGCACAAAAGCACTGAGTTCTGACACCCACATCCAGTTCACTCGTTCAGTGAATCAAGGGAAGACAAGGTTAGATTTGCCCAGTTCCTGTCAGGTGAAGCATCTAGAATATGGAGAAGCACAGGCAGATAGGATCAACAGCCATCAACTCTTGTGCTTCTAACAGCTCTCAGTGCCATAATAGAAAAGGGTCAGTCTGAGCAAATCTGAATGACATCACTGTTGCACTCTCAGACCTCTTGCCTCACACTTACTAAGCTTGCCTCTTCCTCACAGCATATGAGAAAAAACTGTATGTAGGTGATTCAGGGCAGATCCAGAAGTGTCGTCCCATTGAAAAAGCCATCAAAGAAGTGAATGGCCCAACTCATGCACAGAAAACCTGAGGCACGTGCAGGCATTTTCAACTACCTTCATTTAGCAAGACGATGCTGGAAAACCGATTTTCAGGTCTGAATTTAATTCATTACAAAGCAGCAACATAACATTGATGACATTTCAAATTTCTATTTATGCAAAGAATGTCTTCATTCTGTGGGACTCAAATACTTACCCTTCAGCTTCACCTCAGTATTTCACATTTTCTTTTCTCTGCTTTGCGGCCACATTTTAATCTCATTTTTATGTCTGGGAATACTTGATAGAGAGAAAAAGACTTTACCTGGAGTCACACAATGAATCAGAAGAAGCTGTGGAACTCATAATCAGGGATTATCACTACTGCCTTCTTCATCCCCTAACTCTATGCTACAGTTTATCACTATATATAGAAAAGTATTAGATTTCCAGAGCAAAACTTTGCTTGAATTCTTGGTAAGAGCAAATCAAAGAAATGAAGCAGTAAGTTCTGATTCAGAGCGGTATATACAATGGTCAAGAGAGTATATTCTGGAGTGAGGAAGACATAGGTTGACATCCCAGCTCTACCAATTACTATTTGTGTGACTTTTGGCAAATAACTTATCCTTTCTGAATCTTGGTTTCTGCATCTGTACAGCAGGACTGTCAATCTTACGTCACATAGTTGCTAAGATTAAGTAATGCATATATAATGCTTAGATTAGTGCCTGACAAGAGTAAGCCCTCAAATATTCCCCAGCAATAGTTATTATCTACTGAGGAAGTAGAAACAGGTTAAGTAAACATTCCAATCAATTGAGCTTTGGCAACAAAGAAGACCAGTGTGAAACAAGAAAAAGAGTATATGATTTAGAGTCAGAAGACCTGACTCCAGGCCTTCCAGA